AAACGGAAATAAGAAATTGAAAATATAATTATTAGCTAGTAGAATTTTATTATATCAACAAATATAAAAAAAGCATTAAACAAGCGAATTAAGAAAAATGCTTAAAATAACGTTTAAAAATGAAGTTAATATTATAATAAAAGCGATTTTGGAAGATATAAAAACATTTTCATTAAAAGTGTACAAACAGAAATACAAGTAAATCTTTAAATTCTGGTTGTTAACAATTTCATTGTTTTCACATTGTATAGACGATATATAATGTAATCTTATGTGCTATAAATACAATCAAAAGCTTCTTAGGAATTTTTAATGTTCAATAAATATGAATGTGTTTGTGTTGGTGGAGTATATTGCATGGTCGAGTATTTCGGAGATGGAGAAGAGCTTCTTTATCGCTGCAGATCTACACAAATGGTTTATAACCGGCTATATAAAACAAACATTAAAATTCTGTTTGACATATTCACTACTTGAAACAATTCTTACCGCTAGTTAAGGTTTTATTCGCTATAAAACTACTCTTTTCCGAATGGCCAAACAGATTCGAAAATCGTTGGCTTAGTTGATATCAGCGATTCTATTTTGAAACGAACAAAGGATTAGTTGTGGATTTAATACGAGTATTTCGTTATAAAATTTATTTTCCTTACAGATTATGTCGGATGCATGGATTTATTCATGCCGAAAATAAATTTTTAAAATGAATTTCATTGCTTTTTGGAATTTTGACTCGGATATTATCGATTGATAAATTGAAACAATGTACTTTTTTCCACTATCGACTTTATATTTTATGATTATTTTTTCCTAATAAATTAATATTTGAATTATTTTCGAACTTTAAATTCTAAAAACTAAAAATTCTAAAGCTTTTTTCTTGAGAAAATATATAAAACAAAAGAAGTATTGTTTATGTCGGTTATAATATTTCTTTTAAAAACTCTTGAAAAATATTTTAAATTTCATTTTAAAAATTTATGATTATCTCAAAAATTTTTTTTCTTAAAATTATTACTTGCTAAAGTTTTCCTTCAGTTTTCCTAAATTTACACACCAGAATTATAAATAAAGATTCAATCTTAAATCAATTATCAGCATTAAGCTTNTTCATTTTTTTTTTTATAAATTTACAAATTTTACACACAATAAATAAATAAATAATATTATCCTTGAAAATTTTAAAAATTTTCTTTCGAAATTTCTATTTCGTTCAGAAAAATTCCTACTTTTTCTTTAAAAATTTCCGACGTTTTCTTGAAAATTCCCATTTCTTGGTACAAAAAACTCTCGATTACTTCCTTCAAATTCCTTCTTCTTTTTCTAAAAATCTGTAATTTTTAAAAGAAATTCTTATTAATCCTTTTTATTTATTTATCATTAACAATTTTATTAATAACTCTTATATTATAAATAAATAATTATCATCAAGTTTTAAAAATAGCATTCGTTTCCCTAAGAAGAAAAAAATTGGATCGTTGCTATAAACTAGTAGACTGTTGCTAGTTTGTCTTCATAAGAAAATTTCATGCAAATATTTTTATGAAGATAAATTTTACTTATATTATCTATATATCTCTAGCAATATCCTGTATTAAAAAGCGTTCTTGATCGATAATAAAACCGGAGAACCATTTTATTATCAATCATTGCAGCAGTTTGTAAGTAGCGAACGAGGATGTACAAACGTACACTATCAATAATTTATGTTGTATTGAATAAATTATTAGTTTCTATTTATCATTGTAATGTCTAAGAAATAGACTGATTTACATTTGATGCGTTGAAATTTTAAGACGTTAAATTTTTCATCTGCATTGAGATGTCCAGTAATATATATTCCCTCCCTTCTTTTTTTATAATCGAAAACATCAATCGTCAATATATTTACAGCGAATGAATCTAGGAGTCTTTGTATATATTTATGCACTAGATAAAGAAGATTCATTCACTTATATATGCGCTTATCCATATATTGCTTTCGATACATTTGAGAAATAAATAAAATTGGAAAGAAAAAAAATATTGTATATATTTATACGCATTCTTATAATTCTATTTTTAGCAAGGCATTTGCAGTCGGAGTTTAATACAGGAGGCGTTTAAAATAGATAGCTATCTGTGTTATTTTTTTATCGCTGGCAGTTGTAGAGTACTGAATATTATTCAGTTATATCTATCAGACTATTTTGTTTCAACACCCTGAATGCCATAAAATACTGTATTGAAATAAGAAAAGGCAAAACAAGTGATATGCTGGATAGTCATTCCACTCTGGAAGCGATTCACCAAACTTCTATTCCTTACAAACTTTTATTGCTCTATATTGTCGAACGATCTTTCCTCGACCGCAGTCATTGTACTCGGTTATATTTGCCTGGTTTCCGCCTGGAACATGACTTCCGTAGGGGAAATTGAGTAGGGGGAAAGAGAAGAGAGCTGATCGAACAGCAAGTATGCGCGGGGATTGGAGACACGATATTGAATCACAAATCATTGGGTCACTCACGTGATTCTGTTAAAGCTGCGGGGTATTCTGGGTAAAATCTAGTAATCTGTTTCAAAACTTGCTGAGTTAGCAGCCGGTCTCATCAAACAGTCGACCTGACTTCTCTTACCGCATCTGTTACCTTGTTTCGGCTACCTTACGCCGAATTAGTCGCGAAATTGTCGATCGGGACACACTTTATATCGCAATTATGTTTTTCAATTTGATTCGCATCGTTTCCTTGTTTATTAAGTTACAAATTACTTCGAACGCCTTCGTATGGCTGCCCCCATAACTGAGGTTTCCAGTGTGCCACATCCTTACAGGGGCGAGGGGAGAAATCTATTTATCTTAGTTCCCAGCATTAAAGAAGACAGTTTGAGTAGTAAAATAGGATGTATTATTATAAGAAGGATAACTATAATTAAAGATTATAATAATAGTAAATCCGTTCTGACAAACGATAAATCTATTTTTTTTGTTTTCTTTCTTTCTCTCTTTCTTTTAGCTGTGTTGTGTGTGGAATACAACAATGTTCCACGCGGGATAATACTTGATGCGTGCCATAGTGTAAGCCAATACAACCTGACGGATCTGGCATTTATACTGACTCACGTTAGATATTATCTTGTATACAAAGTTGCTTTATCCATCAATAATAATGTGTATAATCGATTGCCGGTTTAAGAAATTAGACTATTTAAATAATATTCGTCTATAGAATACAATATTAAGAAGTTAATACACAAATAATGGTGAATATTTTTAAATTTCCTACAAAAAAGTAACGAATGCAGTTAAATAAATAATGGAATAAATTAATCTTTATGGCAAAAAACGAATAGATGAACATATAAATTACCTTAAAACAATTTGAAATTGTTATAATTATTAATTATTTAGAAAATATGTTGTTCAAACATTATACACACATTTCACACAAAATTCGGTTCCTAATTTTGTTAACTTTTATATCAAAAGATGGCGCTACCCATCAATATTTTTTGTCTGAATTTTCTTTTTTCGAAATTGAATATTCGATGATTTAAACTGGCGAAAAAATGCAAAAAAGTAAAGAAATAATAATAAGAAGAATTGAATTAATTTTTTTTTTCTTTTATTGAAAAATAAACTTTTAAAACTTTTAGAGAATAAAATGAAAATTCTTATATAAACTCGCGAAAAGAGTAATAAAAGTTTTTATTGCTTATATTTCTACAATCATTTTTTATATTTTTATTATCGGTTTTTATTGTCGTTTTTTATAGCATTGTTTACATGTTCTTTATATAATAATGCATTGAAAAAATTTAATTGTAGAATAGTCTCAAGTAATAAATATAATGCTTCCAGTATATTAAATACACTTAACATATCCTCAGATAAAGAAATTATTATTTAATAAATAGTTTTTTTTATATATTTTTCGATAATAATAATTATTATTATTATTATCAAATTTCCATATTCATAACTAAAATTTTAAGCTCGGATTCTTATTTTAATTATACAATCATAAATTCATTACTTTAAATTTGAAATTTTAATCGAGACATTAATTTCTAATTTAATTTGGAAATAATAAAATGTAAAATTAAGCAAGTGATTAATACTAAAAGAATTTCTAAATTTAAAGTTTTAGCCCGAAAATTGTAAGAGTAAATAAACATAAAAATGACATTCTCACTAACCTAAAAACATCTGTCGTAAATATAGTTAAATCTGTCATTTGCTCTCTCTTCAAACTTATTTTAGATAGGAATTAAAACTAAAAACTCATGAAAAAATAAATAAATATAGTTTTTAAACATTAATGTATATATATATATATATATAACCGTTATTTTATTAATTTTAAAATAATTTTTTTTATAAATATGGTTTTATATTAAACATCAAAATACGAGTCACCAATAAAAATAAATATATTTGACTTAAAATATCTACGGAAAATATAGTTTATTACATTAGTATTAGCTCCGAATTACTTTTGATTTTGTTCTCTGTCAATTAATCCTCTGATTTGGCCCAATTGTATCCAAGTAACCATGAAATCTTTTATCCTCTTTCTTCCTATTCTAGATCCAATTTCGAAAATATCCAGACTCCAATTTCGAAAATTATCCACCTAACTAATTATATAAATTATTGTTTTCTTTCTTATATTAAAATTCAGTTTATCTAAATATAGATACTTTATAATTCTCCATTTAAAATTTATTACAGGTTATGAATATCTTTGGAGATGGCTACATTACTTGTCACATCTCCTTATCCCATAAATTATATTGGATAAAATTTATGTTGTTATAATTTATAATAAAATAATCTTAACTACAATTTAATAATTATAATTACTTTAATAGTCTATATTAATTACATTTTTCTTTATAACAGATTTTTAATTATATTATTAAAGAATAATTAACTATAAAATATTTAATGATATTATAACATAGAATGAATAAGATTAATTATATAATTAACCTATTTTATTATGAAACTTTTATAGAATAAGAGAGATGAATTTGAGAGAATAAATCTCCAGGCAAATGCAGATGTAGTAAGCTTTTTATAATATTTTTTTTTGTATTTTTCCTAAACTCGCTTTTGTTTTTTTTTTTATCTGTGAATATATATATATATACAGTATATCTACCACGATCCTCTACTATTCACAAGGTCACGTGAGCGTTATTCTTCACGCACAATGCCATCGTTACTTTTGCTTAGCGTGACTACTTTTGCCATTTTCAATCATATAATGATGTGGTTTTTGTCAGTTTGATTAATTTTTAATACTTCACGTGTCATCTGAAACTTTAAATATATATTTATTCATTTTAATTTTAAATTTTTAAATATATTTTATAATCATTATAAATATTTACTTATACACTAAAGTTCGATATATAAAAATATTTTTTATTATTATTTGATAAATAAAATCAGTTTTTTTTACTAAATATTTTATTTTATTTCTATTCTATTCAATAATACAGTATATAAACTAAAAAGATTATAGATTTTTATCTCAAGCAGTTTCTTAATTAAATAGAAATTTCTTAATAGAAATAATAAAATTCGTAGCTTAGAGAATTGCAACAGTTTTGTGTTAGAGATAGCAAAGGTCAATGAATTAGAAGAGAATTAATGAGATTGTAAATGAAATATGTTGAATAGAGAAAAGAAAGTTCTAACTAGCAACTGTGTAGGAATCAATATTTTGGAATGGAGATCAATAGACTGAGATCAATTAGCCACAACTAATGACATTAATTAATTAAGATGCTCTTGACATTAGTTAACCCATGACATATGAATCTAATTTCGCAATAAAGCTATTTTGTGGTTAACTTTATTTTTAGTCTTAAAACAGAATTAGTTAAGAAAATACTTTTTTAANCACTAAACCCAACATAATAATAATAATAATAATATAAATTAATCTATATTTTTTATAATTTATTTTAAATATGTTTTAGATCTTTTAAGATAAAATAATATTGAACTTGAACTTATTGAATTAAAAAAAAAAAACTTTCATAGGTAAGTTTATTTTTATAGATGAATAATCGATACGAACTTAATCCCCAACTCCAAATAGATATTGGATACAGCACATTTTATATGCTTTCAATCAAAGTAGATATCCTGAGTGGGAGCATTGCGATGGCTTTAACTAGAAACACGATAGGGATTGTTAGAGTGCGGTATCTTTTTATTAGCGAGAAACTGTTCAAAATATTGAATTTTCCAATTAACAAGAATGGAAATTTGTTTAAAGGCGATAATATAATTTCTGTAACAAAAGTTTCAATTTCTGTCTTGAATGTTGATATAAAATGTGTAATTCGGAAATTCCAACTGGACTGGAAAAATGAGTAATTTCTCAAAAAATTCCAATAGCTCTGAAACTTTTATTTGTTGGGGAAACACACAATTCTGGTATAATTAAGGAAATATATATTACAGACGTCGGCATCAAGATCCCTAATGTCATATTTATGATGAACGATTTCAATAATGAATTTTTGAAATTTATCTAGACCTAGATCGTGTTTCAAAAGACAACTCAAATAAAAATGGTTTATGACTTTAATCTCTTTCTAAACATTAACGTTTTATCTCATTTAATGAAAACTATGAATAAGTACGTAATATTTAAAAGCCTCGCAAACTTTTCTAAAGATAAATACTCTAATATGAATAGTTTGCGTATTTATATACTTTGTTTAATCATAGTAAATATACATAACCATTATTATGCTGTTATTTCTCTCCATAATTTAAGAAGACGTTAATCTATGAAAATTTATAATTATAAATACGAAATTGTGTAAATTACATTTAATTATTTTGGAAGAAATGTGTGATGTTTTAATAAAGACATTTTTCTTGAAAATAATTGGGAGCAAAGAAAGCTGAACACCATATTTTAGGAGCGGGTGAACGCCCTTTGCTATGGTCACATCTTTAGAGACAGAGTTCACAAGACCTTGCAATTATCCTTTCTAAGTCAAAGTAGTAAATCTGACACACAGGTAGACCTATCCTCCTCTGAATCACCGGTAAGTTTACGATCAGTACCTCTGTGGGTGTCCATGGATGACATAACGTTTAGCTTTTGGAGCTCGTTATCTTACTTGCAGGGTTTACATTACTTGTTACTTTCCCAACTGCACTCAGTCGGTGTCTCGGGAATGATTCTTTGTCTACATTTATCCATTGAAATTTAACAGAAAAAAATTGCACTATCTCTGCATTTTCTTCAACAGGAATCTAAATCTTATAAAAGCTATATTTATTTCTTTTATGTTTAAAATATTTTATAAGAAATATATTTTACTGTATTTAAAATTATTATGCAAAGTTGAATAGCTATCTAAATCAGTTAAGCTTCTTATAGTTAGGATGTTATTGTAGAAGTGGATATCATAGCTTGTATATAGGCCTATATATGCATATATATACAGATAAATATTCCAGTTTTAACTGAAATATCAAGGATTATTTTCGAATAGAAAACAGTGTTTTTTATAAGAAAAAAAAATTAAAGTTCATGCCCATAGGTATAAATTAAAAATATAATTTGTATGCATCATTGATATGTTCACGAGCTTCTTGCACAATTTTACTTGCTTTCTGATACTTAGTTGCTCATTTTTAATATCTGGAAAGTAAATAAATAAAATACCTTTAGGTACAGATTTTTAGAACAATTTTTATATTTAAATATCGCAATTGTTATTCTTACATATAAAAAAATTCTTAAAAGGAATGGATAAATAAAATAAAACTTCTAACTTATAAGAATAAAGCTTATTTAAGTAGAATTCAAAGTATGACGAAAGGAAAGCAATTTAAATGCAAAAGAGGAATTTTCTAATTAGATATTATGGTAGGTTGAAGGAAGGAATTGAATTACCTGAAATTCGTTTAATTCGCTAAAACTCATTTTTATAGAAACTTCGACAAATAATAAAAATAAATTCCAATTTTCATTAATTTTTATTATTAATAATGAAAAGTTAATCGAAAAATTATTATTTTTTAACTTATAATGTTTTTTTTTTAATTTATATTATCATTATTCATGAAATATCTCAAGTAATTAATAATTCAACTGATTAAAGTAAATTAAATTTATTAGGAAAACGGGATAATTTTTCTTTAGAAGCATGTTTAAAATAAATCTTTCTACAACACAATAATTGAAGAAGATAAATTATTTATTAATTTAATTTATCAAATTTAAACAGAAACTACCAAGGTTAAAATTAAATTTAACATTAAATTGAACGTATTGATGTAGATTTAAAAAAAAAAAATCTTTTTACATTTACTGAAAAATAAATATTAAATTATTAAAATAATAACAAATTAATACATTTATTAACAATTTTTTAAGTACATTTTAATGAATTCATTCATATTCATAAAGAATGAATAATTAAAATTGCAAAAATAATCATTTATTCTTTAGATAAACTTATTAATGTATTTAAAATGTTATAAAGCCTCGATTTATTAGTATTTTCTTTTATATTTTAAAATATTTTGATTTTTTTTAAACTGCAATTTTTTACAAGTACTTTCCAGTAGAGAAATCCACTTAGGAGTTGTCCTATAACTCTTAATTCTTCAATATTTTTGTAAACTTTTAATGATTTAGTTACATTTTTAAATCTACAAACTCGTGTATATATTTTCTCATACGATCAGTTAAAAAGTCATCATTTCTAAAAATCTATTTTAGCGATAAAACTAATTAATAAGTAGTTTTTACCTGCAACTTTTTAATGATATTAAAATCTATAAATAGAATAAATAAAAAAATTTCTAAAAAATGTTACTTAAGAATTTTTTTTTTAGTCGTATGAGTAATTCGATTTAGATATTAATGATTTAAATATATATTTATACATACATAATTTCTTTCGTTTAATATGTAAAGTAAATGTCTTTATATATAAAAAAATTTTGTATATATTTTTAAATGATTATATATAGCGGTTGTAAGCAAAAATGCATCTATTGTTTTCATGTTTGATTAACCTGCATTTATCTGCAGCCACAGTAGTCATGCAGAGGACTATTATTTGCTATCCTTACGTCAAGTCTAACGTCATAAATAACCGTAAACACATAAGACGGGGAACTTTCCCTTGCCGAGATAATCCTCGCTACGAATAGTTTTCGCAAAGTGACAAGATGACAACTGACTGGACCACACACGTTTTGAAGTCGGTAGATCGAGTCACATACGGGTGCCCAAACACACACGAATCGAAGAAAAAAAAACCTGACTATAAATGTCTGTTTCTCACAACGTCCTTTAATGCCGCGTGTCAAAAAATTCCCTAAAAATCCAGATATCTCCAAAATACCGTTCGCTCAAGCGTAAACGTCATAGAATTGTGCCGCGAACAAGATCGATTCTATTAAATATCTGACCAGACAAAGGAAAGCTAGATCAAGTAGCCTAAAGGCGACGTGATTGGCTTTATAAGTTAGTTTCAACACCTTGTTCACCTGGAAAGGAAAATCACGGCAATTATGATGAGTGCAAAGCGTGACAGTGCACGTGACATCACGTGAAATTCCAGTTAAGGAAATTAATTGCTACCGTACGGAATCCGATAGAGGGTCGTTATTTTTTGGTGACGGATGGACTACCAGATCACCTTTAATCTTTGACCCCATTGACCTTATATTAGCTAGGTGTTGAGGCTAGGTGTTACCTGGAGGTCGTCATTGTCTAGTAACTTTCAAGGTGATTTTAATCATTCTTAGACAAATTACAGGATTGACGAATGGACCGACTTGACCGAATTCTCTGCTCGGTTTTAGTAGAACTTTACACACACAAGTTAGCAATCAACCCTGTTAAAGGCCAAAGGAATTCTCGGGTCAGTAGAGAGAATGTCTAATGTCACGGATGCTTTATACTCTTTAATAATACATTTCTAGATGATGTGAATTCATATTAATGGTATTACATTTGGATCAATGAACTAAGAAGAAATTATATAAAATTAAACTAATCTCTACATTTTGTAA